CATTATCGTTAAAGACTTAGTGCAAGCTAAGTCACGAGAATTCAAAGTCTCGAGAGGACGACCTATGATAACTTTCAAACACACATGGTCGTGCCACTATCAACTTTTTTTTTTTTTTTTGTTGCAAACCGATGGCATTTCTTAGATCTAAGTCCTTACATTTACTTTACTAATTTTTTTTAGGTTATTCATCATGTAATCGAGGACTTAGTTCAAGCTCGATTACAAGATTTCAATGTGTATATATTCAAGAGCATGATTGTGATGTCCCACATTGGTTGGGGAGGAGAATAAAACACCCTTTATAAGGGGGTGGAAACCTTTCTCCAACCGACGCGTTTTAAAGCCTTGAGGGGAAGCTCGAAAGAGAAAGATCAAGAACGACAATATCTGCTCGCGGTGGGTCTGGGTCGTTTCTTATCACTATCATTACTCATAGTTTGAATGAAATTAAGTTTATCAAAACATCGGAGATATGACCCACTAAGTTTTGAGGATGTTATATCGAACGTTACTCACCCAACCTTACTTAAAAACGACTCAACCCTTTGGTGTTTCATGTTAGAAATCACGACTCTACCAATGAAGATGTATTTCTTACTATCATCTTCTTTAATTAGCCAACGTGAGACTCATTTCCAATAATCTTCAACCGTTCATCTTCGATGGAATCACCAAAACCGATCAAATGTTCAAATGCTATGGGTATTCTACAACACGGTCTAAGAATTTCGTGGGTTATGCTAAGAAACGCGCACACACACAAAAAAAAAAATCAAAAATCAAACTAGAAACGAGAAACTCACCTAAATTTGATAGTTTCAATAATACTCTTAAAATTAAAAAAAAAAAATCTAAAAAAATTTAATAGTTATTTTCGAGATTTATTAATATCTAGCCATTTACAGGCTGTTAAGAGGTTATGGGTGGGCCCATTTTGATGTAGGCCCACTTTATAACTTTACTGGGCCAAAAGTGAGTATCTATACGGCCCATTTAATAAGAATTTCTATTCTGGGATAGTACGCAAAATTGGGGTATAAAAGGAGTGAAATAATGAAAATTTCGGAGTTTGAAGTGCCATTTTGTAGCGGGAGTTCCGGAGCGAGGGAAAGGATTTGCAAGCGATATACCGATCGTTAATGGCGGAATATCGATCCATTTACCGACTCCATTGATGCTGATGGAACTAATAGAAGGAGAAGACGACGCCGTCCGATTGCCCTACGGCCGTTCCATTCGAGAGCTTCTCTTTCATTCTCCTGGTAACGCTTTTAGTTCGTTACGTTGCGAAGGATTATTCTGATCTTGATATTTTCTTTTCTTTTCCTGTGTTTGTGTAAATATATCTCCTGTGTATTAGTTTTCCTGCGAAGGTACTGATACAATTCCATTAGTTCGTCTTCCGTTGCACGTTCACTAGTTTTTCTCAGTGATATATATATATATTTTTTTAATGTTTTTCAATAGAAAGAAATTACATGAAATAGTCCTGCTAGATTCTTCCATTTGTTATTACTCATGATCGACGATATTGTTGGATCTTCACTGATAGATGCTTCTATTTGTCATTACATTATGATCGACGATTTAGTTAGATCTAACAGCAATGGAAAATGTTACTTTCTAGGAATAGAAAAATCTTTGTGAGTTGCATCATTAACATATTGTAAATTTGTATGTTGCTATTGTTTGGAATGCCAGAATTTCATTTCTTTAGTAAACTGAGGATTATAGAACCGTGTGCTTTAAGTATGTTCTGTTTCTTGTTGTCTGTGTGATCATAAATAACAGAGAGAGGTTGGAGAACGAATTATGTTTTCCTTCGATCATTTTTTTTTAAACAAAAAATTATAAATCTAGCAAACCAGACGATAGAAAAGCCGCCTAATCATGTATTATATAGATCCTGGTTTCTGCATAGGCATCTTATGCTTTAGTTCCTCGGCCATAGTCTTTTTCCACAAAAGATCTCTAAATGCCTCACGATAGGATAGAAGCTCAAGAAGATGATGAATAGACGTTACAACAGAAACAAAAAAGTAAGAATAACGTGAGTAAACAAATTTTGGTAGCTTTATGGACTTGCGAGAGCGTTTAGGATAATGAGGTGGATCCACACTCCACACTCTCAAGAGGATGCTGGTGGTGGTATTAAAATCTGAACTATAAGAAGAGGTAATTGAAAATCAGTAGCTGAAGAAGAGGTAATCTGAACTAGAATTTTGTGAATAAGAAGAGGTAATTGAAAATCAGTAGCTGAAGAGAAAGGATCTATTTTAATGAGACCAGGTTGAAGCATAGTATGAGAATTAGTTGAAATTGGAAAATAGGGATCTGCTCAACAAGTTTAACATGAGGAGAAACAAATTATTTTTGAGTTACAGGATCAAAGCAAAGATATCACCTTTTGACCTATACCATAACCTAAAAAGACAATTAACGGACTGAAAGGAGAGTTTATCTCGTTCTGTATGAAGAAGAAGAGCAAAACGAGTGGAGCCAAATAACATGCAAAGAAGAATAATAAGGTGCAAGACGATATAAATTTTAAAATGGCGACGAGTCTGAGTGAAGAAGAGTTGGAATTCTATTAATTAAATAAGCATCAATTAGAACTTGCCTCTCCACAGAATTTACTAGGAATGTAAGCAGATGATGAAAGAGAACGATCAGTTTCAACAATAAATGTCTGTACTTTCTTTCAGCAACTCCATTTTGTACGGGAGTATTTGTATAAGATGTTTGACATATAGTGCCATCAGAAGCAAAAAAAAAGTCAGAGAAGGTAATTGTAGTATTTTCTCCACCCAAATCACATAAAAAACATTTCATAGCAACAAAATGTTGACTCTTAACTAAAGCTCAAAAGAATTGGAATATAGAGAGATTTAGCGACCGATGTTTTATAAGATAGACTCAAGAATAACGAGTATAGTTGTCAATAAAGGAGATATTCAATGTGAGGAGGAATTTACCCTTCATGATGAATAATATTAAAGGAAATACTGTTTTTAGAAGGTAAAGCTGAAAATTTTGCAATTTTGCAACTACTAGAATTAGAAATACTTGAGGAAGAATGATTCAAATGGAAAGATAACAAATCACTTGTTATTTTGTTTTTTAGCTTTGTTATATGAAAGGTAAAATACATACTTCAGTATGCATAATTTTACTTAACATTATGTCATGTATTATTCTATCTACTATAATTTATGATGTCTGAACATAATTGCACAAAAGTCGGTATTTTGTGGCTAATTTGAATGTTATCAACCGTCTTTACCTCTGAAACAATTTTGATTTACGTCTCGAAATTGTGCAGTGAATCACTTAACATGCTTAAAGTTCCATTGCATTCTTAGAGCTGGCAATACTTGTTTTCTTTTAAGGATTTGAATATTATCCTAATATAGCAGCTAGTAGCTGTTTTAGTGCGTTCGAAAATCACTTGATTTTATAAACTAGTGCTTTGAAATTAGTGGTCTATATTTACTACGCTGTGTATCCTCCTTTTCTTTTTCACGGTAATTCTCTTTTTAGCTTATCTTTTATGTTCTTTGCGGTGTTACATATACTTGTTTGTGCACATTCAATTTTCTATTTGATTCTCTTACATTTATTTACAAGATTCTCATCTTTTTTTTCCCGATGTGTTTGTTAGTCTCTGCTTCTTCTTTATTTGTTTTGATTTCTAGTCTTCTGTGAAGGTTGAAGTTGTGTTTGTTTAGTATCTAGTTTGGTTGAAATAAACAAGGACATAGGAAACACTTAGTTCTCATGTAGTGTTTGACTCTTCTTTTTTATTTTATTTTATTTTTTTTGTACATTTGAGCCATGGAAATAAGCATAGTTCACCTATTTTGCTTTTATTGACAATAGTCTTTTTGTAATGGTTTTTGTTATGCCTATTTTTTTTTTACATTTACCTACTTTTGCACCCATTTAACAGGGTTATTGAAATTCAGTTACATTTTTTTTTAATCTCTAACTCTCAACGGTAATTGATGTCTCCTCTGATCCTTGAGGTCGGAGCTTCAAATCTACTCAGTAAAAAAAAGGAAAAAAAAGGAAAAAAAGTTTACTAAGTAAATTTAGGAGTCTTATTATTTGCACCTATTTTGCTCTTATAACAATATTGTTTTCTTATTTGCATAAATGACTCTTTCAAACTAACATAAATGACTTCAAATATACTTTTGCACCTATTTTGCTCTTATAACAAGCTCTTATAACAATATTGTTTATTTTGCTCTTATAACAATATTGTTTTTCTTTTTTAGTCAATAGTAGAAAAAAGGAAAAAAGGAAAAAAAAAACAATTGTCTTTTTTATGTTGTTCTTTCATTGTCTTTTTAGAGTTGAATAATAATATAAGTTATATATAAATTGTAGTAGCCTCTAATATTTTTTTCTAGGTGCGTATTAAATATGACTGGGGAATACCTCTATGGATTAATATTTGCGTATTATATTACGTTTCCATCGATGCTTGCTGTTTTGTGCTGTTACTCATCTATTTAATTTTTTAAAAAATATTTTCCTTTTACGGAGTGGGTGAATTGAATCTTTGATCTCCTGATTGATAGTAATAATAATCTTTGATCTCGTGTTAGACTATTTTTTTTTTCAAACTAATATATTAGAATTTAGTTTTTGTTTTATTATTGTTTATTTTATAACTCTTGGCAGTGTTGGAGTTTGATTATTTATTTGTCCAACGATTGTTTCCTATTGACTGATTTTAAATCGGGACATATCTCATAAATGTACCTTTTATTTGTTATTTCCTGAGTTGAAAGATTTAATATCGGAAATTGCATTTATTCTGTTATTTCCTTTTGCTTGGATTCACAGGTTTTTTTTCATTTTGAAGTGCATTTGTGATTTAATCCAATTACGTATTATTATTATTTTATTTCTAAACTACCTTGAAGGGCTATAGTAGCATTATAAACAGTATAACATAATAGTAGTCATAGTAATAATCATTCTAATCGTATCCCTTTCAACACTTGCCATTTACGAAAATTTAGAAATACATTCTTAGAGATTGCCTAAGAAAACCAAATCATCTCCTAAAAATAGAAGTAGGACTCACCTAATTAATCTATACACCTCTAATTTTATAATTTTTATTATTATCATTTCTACAGTAACAAATGTTGGCAGCGCTAATGATTCACTCTAGCACCCTACGCACTTGGAAGTTCAATGGCGGCGGCGGGGGCAGGGGCAACCCCACCGGTAGTTGGCCTGAAAAGAAAATTAGACGAGGACCCATTAGTAGACCAAATATGAGTTATTGAAAATAAAAAAGACAGTTGTGAATAATAAATAATAATAAAAAACAATAATTATGGAAATGAGGGATAGTGAAGAAACGTACAATCCGACAAAAACTTTGAATGCGTCGTAGATAACCCACTGAGCTCCAGTGAGGGTTCCAATCATGACTATGCGTAGAGGCAGCCCTCGTGTAAAGAGGCCCCATACTCCAAGCTTCTTCACAGCCTGCACCAATACCACGACGATTTCAGAAAACTGGGTATTTGGCTTTCGGCTTTTTAGTACAAATTCAATGGAAAGACGTTATTTGATTCTTTTTTTCAGGATAAATGAGATTAATTTTTACAGGCCATTTTATTTACCAATCCGAAAATAAAACTGTTTTTAGAAAGAATAAATTACAAAAAATACCATAAAATTTTCATTTGCTTAAAAGATATTTCTATTATTTTAAAAGTTAGTACTTTTGAAATATTATAAATTTTGAAATAATAAAGTACTTTTGAAATATTATAAATTTTGAAATAATAAAGTACTTTTGAAATATTATAAATTTTGAAATAATAAAGTACTTTTTGAAATATTATAAATTTTGAAATAATAAAGTACTTTTTGAAATATTATAAATTTTGAAATAATAAAGTACTTTTGAAATATTATAAATTTTGAAATAATAAAAGTATTTTTAAAATATTATGAATTTTGAAATAATAAAAGTATTTTTGAAATAAATGTAAAATTTAGTGATATTGGGTTATAATTTAGTCTTTCAAGAAAAATGTTTATTGAACTGTTTAGATGGTCCAAAATACTTACGTCACCAACGGTAGCCCCTTTAGCATTGTTGAGAAAAGAGACCAGATTGTCTGCAGGGTGAGAAACTATAGCACAAGAAACTCCCGCAATATATCCACCAGCAAAGCTGACGCCCAGCTGCAAGGCGCTGCTGCATTCGTTCTTTGGCTTGGGAATGACATGCTTGTAGATGAGCTCCACGAGATTCTCAAATGTTGCAAATTTCATCATTGTATCTGCAAAAACGTAATTGTTTTCTTACTTGGCAGTGTTGCAAAGAAAAAAAAAAAAAAAAAAAAGGAGATGGTCATATAATTGCAAAGGAAACACAAACTTACATGGGATCTGACGCCCCCATAGAGGAACAATACCCTTGTACAACCTGCACGCACAAATTAGATAGTACATAAAACCGAGATGGTAAAATTAAACTTCATCCGTTGAGGATTATTGAGAGTGAGTTCTACGTTGACTAATTTAGGGAATGATCATGAGTTTATAACTGAGAAATACTAATTCCATTGGTATGAAGCCTTTTGGAAAAGCCCAAAGCAAAGCCATGTGAGCTTATGCTCAAAGTGGATAATATCATATCATTGTGGAGATCCGTGATTTCTAACATGGTATCAGAATCATGCCCTAAACTTAGTCATGACAATAAAATCCTTAAATATCGAACAAAGATTGTGAGGCTTATAGTGTACTTTGTTCGAGGGGAGGATTGTTGAGGATGGTTGGGAGTGAGTCCCACGTTGACTAATTTAGAGAATGATCATAGATTTATAAGTGAAGAATACTAACTCCATTGGTATAAGACGATTTGTGGAGAAAAATTTATAAGTTAATCGGTTAGTTGAATCCATTCATCATCCTAAAAATTGAACTTCTAAGAAATGCAGAAGATGATAGAGTGAGAACTTACCCAAGGGCACCTTCAGATCTGACGAATTTGGGAAGGCCATCAGACAGACCTCTAGCAAAACCAGGCTGAGTTTGAACTCTAACTTTAACAGCTTCAAATGGGCAAAGTGCAACATCTGCAATCACTTCAGCAGATGCAGAGCCAGCAAGATAGATCAAGGTCTTGTATTTTGCTGCATACTCTGGACCAGCTATGTCGGAATAGTATTTCTTAAAGAATTCATAGATACCATACTTGCAAGCACCCTGAGCACTGTAACCCAGAAAAGTTGGCGCCCAACCCCTGAAGAAGCCCCTGATTCCTTGCTCCTTTAAAAGAACTCCAAAACCTGATGAAATGCTCTTGTATTTCACAGGGTCAATCTGAACAAAAAGAATGTTGTTGGCATTGGCTGAAATGAATACGTACGGAAAGGTCGTGTATCACAGGGAAAGAAAAATTGATTGATGATGAAAAGTAAGTTAAAAACAGTAGAAATACAGTATTAGTATGACCAAGCCACGATATTCAAACATTTGAGCATACTTTACTTTAACTATTCGTTGGAAAGAATAAATATCCTACTCACGTCAGCTGCTACAATGGAAAAATCAATGTTAATAAGATAACAATTGCATTTGAAAATGATGACAATCACTAAATGGCAATCTTGCCAACTGACAAAAGCAAAGTTTCAAAAACTATTAAAATTTGAAGCATATTATAAGGTGAGTGAATCCAAAAGAAAACATCAAAGTGCATGTAGTATTCAACCTATAATGATCAAGAACATCAAATATGTCATACGATTAACTTCAGTTCAGAAGCAACGCTAGCGTATGTACAAACAAGCTTAATCAGCTAATAGTTCAGTTACATGATTGCATTCAGAGCAATCGTATGTTGTCTTTTTTTGTTTTATTGAAATTACAAAAAAAAAAAAAAAACAATAATAATAAAGAACAACAAAAACATGAATTTCAAAAAATAGAAAAGGACACACATCGTGGACCTTTAACAAATATCTCAACCTGATATTAACCACCAAAGATAAAACACGGCACAATCTAGTATATTTTGAGAACTAAAAATGTCAAGATGAATATAAGACAGTAATTGACGGTTATTATTATTATTGTTGTTGTTGTTAGTTTTATTTGAGAGAGAACCGCCTTTATTCTTCATCGTTATAGTTATGCAAGAGTACATACTAATTAAACAAAACTCAATAAATTAAGTGGTGATTTAACATTTATTTGGATGCCAGAGAAGACAGAGTAATTTTCTATATCTGTATACATTTTGCAAAGATCGAATACAAAACTCTAAAAAGACTTAAAACTATAGGATCAAGTTTCTGCAACAAACAGTTCGGTGTAGAATATGAAGAATCGTCAAACGTTGACGTTCTAGAAAAAGGAAAAAGGAGAGTCTGAATTATTACAGAGACTTCCATTCCTACACGTTTATTCTTTATTTATTTTTTAAATATTCTTTTTGTACCTAATGTTAGAGAGTGACACGTCCATCTCATTAGTCTTCCTCTCTTTATTTCTGTTTAAAGAAGAAAGAGCTACAGTGTTGAATAATGATACAGTAAAATACATAAATCCAATTTTGTCTTACTGATTAAAATCTCAACATAGCTCTGTTGAGCGCAAATCCCCTCGAACGGCAGGACAGAATAGTAAGTTTCAAATACAGAGCATCATTTCATTATGTATGTCTGCCTATTTACATGTGTTATTTAAGAGATTTCATACAGGATTCACTCGTTGTAACATCCTCATAAATTATTTATTTATCTTACTATCATTCTGGTGCCTAAATATTTTGATCATCCAGACACGATCAAGCATCCATACTAGAAACAAACAAGCAAGCAAGCAAGCAATTCGATCCGATTGAAGTCACCGATCCATCAAGCAAGAAAAATATTAAATATATATTTAT